ATATATTTCAAAAACTTTAACTAAAATCTCAAATCAAAAATATTTATGCATTTACGTTTACAAACATATCTCAGCTTTTACCAATTCAAAATTAATGAAATTTTAATATATTATAGATTGAGATTGTATTAAATATATATAAAATGTTGAACTAATTCTGATCAGTGCATCTTGAGATATACGATGTCAAACTTAATGTTCAGAAACTTTTGGCTACCCTCTGTATAAGATGAATTTATCTAGAATGATCAAAATATTAGAAGGTGAAAGATTCATAATTAATTACATTAATTAAAATTTCAGTGATAGATTTCATCATTTGATTTATCGCATTAGTTTTATTGGTAAAGTAGGTATTATCCAGATTATACTTAACTTCTAGCATATATTTATTTAGTTTACTATTTCTAATCCTTTTTTAATTTTAAATTCAAAAATAGAAAGTCTGTTTATATTTCTGATAGTTTGTATAGTAGAATCTGAAATAACAACATTAAGTTATCATTAAAATATCATTATATTTTAATTCAAAGACTTTTATAAAGGTAACATTAATAACAAAAAAATAAAGTTAATTATAAAAATATAATAATCTGATAATCAATTTATTTTTATTCTTTTTGTATTTATTATTCATAGAGTATCAATCGTCACAAGTTATAATCTTTTCTTTTAGACAAATTACATTACTAATCTTATAAAATTTAATTTCTATTAAAGTTATTCAATCAGTTGAAAATAGTGTTCTGCACAAATTGGATTAGATCAAATTTAAGCAAAATCTGATTCAATCTGAATCGGATTCGATCTGAATCTAAAAAATCTGAATCTAATTTGATCTGAATCTAAAAAATCTGAATCTGATTCGATTTGAATCTGACAAATCTGAATTTAATTTGATCTGAATCTGACAAATCCAAACCTGTATCTGACAGATCAAAAAATTTTTTAACAAAAATCTGCTTCTGCTGTTCAGAACGACGTTTTAATGTTAAAAAATAACAATTTTGTTATTTTTTTAATAAAAATCTGCCTCTGACATTTGGAATAGTGTTTTAATGTTAAAAAAAACAACAATTTTTTTTTTAATAAAAATCTGCTTTTGACGTTTAGATTGGCATTTTAATATAAAAAATTAATAAAAATTAATTTTTTTTATTAATAAATATCACGTTTGACTTTTAGAACAGCATATTATTATTAAAATTTAATTTTTTAATAATAAATGCTGCCTTTAACTTTTGAGACAACATTTTATTATTAAAAATTAATTTTTATTAATAAATGCTATATCTATCTTTCAGTGCAATATTTTAATATAAAAAATTAATAAAAATTAATTTTTTTATTAATAAATACCGCATTCAACTTTCAGGTGGCATTTTATTATTAAAAATTAATTTTTTAATAATAAATATTGCCTCTGAATTTTGGAATGGCATTTGTTATTAAAAATTTATATAAAATTAATTTTTTTAATAAATGCAGCCTCTGACTTTCAGGTAGCATTTTTTTATTTCAAATTCAACAAATCAGATCTGAATCCCAATTTGAATCTATCGGATTAAATCAAATCCAAATCTGAATCTAATCCAGATTCAACAGATTGAATTAAATCAAAATTCAGATCTGAATTTGATTCGAATCTGATAAATCTGATTTGATTTGATCTATCAGATTCAAATCAGATTCAATTGAATCAGATTTTTTGCAAAACACTAGTAAAAAAAAAGCTTTGATCTAAAGTTCTGAATAAACTGAGTTAAATTTTAAATTAAATGAGTTAAGTTAAGTTGATTCAAAAATATTTTGATTCATTTAACTTGAATTGAGTTTCAAGTTTAGCTTGACTTGACTTAAGATAAATTGAGTTAAACTTAAGCTAAAGTTAAGTAAAATTCGAGCCTAAAATTGAATTAAACTTGAGTAATAATTTAACAATTTTTTTAAAGAAAGTATAAAAATCATTCTAAAGGAATAATAAAATTTTCATTTCTAAATTTTCATTCTAAAAAATAACATAAAAATCATTTCAATAGAACTAATATATATTATTCTTAAGAAATGATAAAAGAATCATTCTGATAGGATAATAATACATTATTCTAAAGGAATATTAAATAACATTATTTTGAAACTATTATTCTAAAAAAATAATAGAAAAATCTTTCTAATAGAGCAAATATTGTTCTAAAGAAATAATAGAAGAATCATTCCAATAGAACATTATTTTATTATTCTATAAGAATGAATTATTTATCACACCTTTATTTATTAAATATAACTTAAGTTGAGTTAAATTGAGATTTAAAAAAATTTTCAACTTGATTTGATTATTTAAATTGAGTTAAGTTTGACAAAAACTCACTTAATTTGATTCAATCAGAATTCTACTTTGATCTATAGGAATTCTATATTATTAAAGTCATTTTTATTAAACCTAATAATGCTGATAATTTTTTAATTATATAGCTGATTGTTTGCCTTTCTCGAGAGTCATGAACATAATAAAAAGTAATTGATTTTAAAGGCATTTAAATAAAAAAAATAAAAAAAAATAGTTTTTAAAATATTAATGTTATTAATTAAATAAATCAAAAAAAAGATTTTAATAAATCAATGTTATATGAAAAAGATAATCATATGAATATCTTGAATACAAAAATCTTCTATATAAAAGATATGGATACGAAGGGATAGAGGGTGAATTACTCTCTAAGATAATAAGATTGAGATTAGGATTCTTAGGTAGATTTCTAGTAGAATTACTCTTACTAATAATAGATCTATCTAAAAAAGAATATTTCTTATGTTTTGATAATCATTGATCGAGTACTTCATAAAATATTTAATATAAATAAAATATAAAAAATGATTATTTCTTTATTAAGAATTTGGTGTATTGAATCTGATCAGGAAAAATATAACCAGTGTTTTCAATATTTTATAATTAGTCCAGAGTATTAGCAAAAGACTATATATGTCTATATGCTGTGTTCTGATATCTTCCGCTTCTCATATCATGAGATAGTTATACTACGTTTCTAAATTAAGTAAATACCTATCCTGATAAAAATCATATCTAATATCTAAAATAAAAAATTTAAAATCTTTCAAAAAGAAACATAATTTTATTTATTACAATTTTTCGTGTTTTTACGCTACTGTTTCATGATGATTTTGTTTATTGTGAATTCGCATATCACATTTGCGTTTACTCTCACAGTTAAGACATATTTTATGTTCCTCAGTATTTTTCATTGAATTTTTTTCCTTCTTTATTCACGCATACTTGCAAGTTGTGTCTCTCATTTTTCTGAGGTTTCTCCTCCTCTTTTTGACATTTTCGTTCACAGTCACATTCAAGGCGTGCTTCACGTTATTCAGGTGTTTCTTTATTTTGGATATTTCGCTTTTGAATCATCTCAGGATGATTGCTCATTTTATAGCAGACTTCGGTATGTAGAATTTTTAAGTGATTGTATAAAATGTATTTGAATTGAAATTTTTATTTTACTGAATTCTGATCTTTATTAACAAAGTCATCTCTTATATATATTTTCTAACTAATCAATCAATCTGTCTGGGTCAGTTAATCGAAATTAAATAATGAATGAATTGATACAAAGAAAATTAACACAATCATCGCTTATACAATATTTTTGGAGTTTGAAAAAGGATCTAATATTCATTAAGAAATACTTTATTATTCTTTATTGTTTCGAAACATTCAATTTACATGCAGTAACTATCTAAAAATTGAGCCGCAGTCATGTCTTTGTTTCATTATAACCATAGCGCCATAAACACAGTTTTCTTTGTTCCGTAGCCAGAATTAGGGCGGATTTACTTAATTTAGAAATCTGCGATTGATCATTTTTTAATTCCGTCATGATCACGTTAAGTAGTCTTTATCATGTAACCCGGACTTAACAACGGTTTCTGTTTCCCTAGTTTATATTATTATTAAGATTTTATTTATTTATTAAATTGATATATAAGAAAAAATAAATAAATGTTATTGAAAATTTTTTAAAATACGCGGTGAAGCATATATTTATTAAAATTCAAATTCTAAATACAAATGTAGAAAAAAAAAAATAAAGTAAAACTGCTGCATAGCCTTCTTCGAAGGGGGGATACCGACTCCAACCAAACCAACCGTCATGTTCCTAAACTTTTTATAATTTAAATCTTAAAATAGACAATTTAATTAAACCAAATTTATATAATTTTTTAATTTTATTCATATTATAACACTTACGCAATTGTGTACGCTACAGGAATTTTCTGTAAAAATGATTTAGCTTTAATATCTAATAAGGAAGTTTCATTTAGTTGAAATATGATAGCATCTTTTATTTGTCGTACTGTAATGAAAAAGGCACAAATTTTTTTGATTCAATTATCTCATAAAATAAATAATAAATTGTAAAAAAAAATTTTTTTTTTCCTTTTCGTTTCTTTTAAAATAATTTTAATGACCAATTTTACGTTCGTAATTAAGAATAATTAAATATTAGAATTACATATCAATTTTTATGTAACATATATTATATATTATATCTTTTTTTTGAAAGAAATTTTTTCGTAATATGAAGTCTTCTATATGGATATTTATAATTTTTTTATATTTTATAAAATGTACGAATGGTGAAACCATTATTATTAAAGTTGGAGAACGTGGATTGTCTTTTTCACCACAAAATGTATCAGCAAAACTAAACGATGTTGTAAGTCTTTTTCATTTTATAAAATTCTAATATGACAATTAAACTAATAAGTTTTTTATTTTAGATACAATGGGAATATATATATGGTAAACATCAGATAGTGCAATCAGATGGACCAGGGAATTGCATTAAATCAAAAGCTTTAAATGCATGTAAGTAATAAGTAAATGAATTGAAATATTTAACTTTCAAATTAAAAAATAATTTTCTTTTTTATTTTAAAATAAAAAAAAAATAGTTGATTCCGGATTAAAAGAGCAAGGAATTTTTAGTATGACCATAACACAAACAAAAGGAATGATGTATTATTTTTGTTCATATAGCTCACATTGTGCATATGGGATGTGGGGTGTAATTAAGATTGATCCAAATAATCCGGTAAACAATCCAACAGAATCATCAACACCTAACACAGCAACTCCACCTAACAAAACGGACACTAATGATCCGGAAGGAATGAATCTACCTATAATAATTGGTATATCGATTGGAGGTTTTTTTGCTCTTTCAATATTAGGATTGGTTGGATTTGTGTTATACAGAAGAAAAAAATACCAAAAACAATTTGACATTTCAATGCAACCTTATGACCCAAAATTGATTGCTGGTGAACACGGCGGTACAGACGGCGGAAGTAATTTAAATAACATTAGAGGAAGTGTTGGTATGGCATCAGTATCAAGTTTAGGCAATAATTTATCTAGGTCAAACACGCGATTTGGGCATTCAACTAATGAAGTTATAGCGTCAAATATATATAATCAAAATCAACCATATGATGAAACAGCAATGAATTATGTGGAGAGAACAAGTAGCGAATTTGATGGTGGCAGTAGATTGTATGGAGGACCATTAGTAGGAGATAATGAATCAAACAGTGGTGAAGTACCTATATCATCTTTATCACCACCTCCAACATATGATCAACAATATGGTCAATATAGTAATGAAATTTCTTATCAACAAGGACCTCCCATTCCTCCTCATCCTTCTTTGATTCCACAACAACAATATGGTGTTCCTTATTTAGTACCACAACCTACAAATATTTATCCACAATATGGACCTCAATATAATAATACCTCTGATATTTATGGTCCTTCTAATCCTGGTCAATATGCTTATCAACAACCGCCACCGCATCAACCTCAACAATCTGGTCAATTTACTGTTAATCCTGCTCAATATTATGGTTCGAGTAAGAGTGATACATCATAGATTTTCTTTATATTACACTTTATCTTTGTTGGATTTTTTTTATTTTAGTTTGTACTGTACTTGTTACAAAAATTATTTTTACTTGTATTGTAAAATGTAAAGATCAAAAATAAAATTTTATCATGTGACGTGTCACGTGGCGAAACAAGCAGTTCATATAAATAGACTATCTTCATTGTTAATTTTGTTGAACTTTCTCTCTCTTTTTTTAAAGATTAACATGATGAAAATCAATAATATAGTTAGTATACCAAGAGAAATTCTTATAGACATATTATTATTATTGAATTCAAAATCTTTATCAAAACTATCAAAAACGTGTAAATTTTTTTACGAGTTTTGTAAATTGGATTTTTTTTGGTTAAATTTCTGCAAAGAATTTGGTATAGATAAACTTGGGAATTTTCCCTATTTTCTTACTATGGTAATATTCATAGCAAATCAAAAATTTTCGTTACATTGGCTTTTAAAATAAAATTTTTTTTTTCCTTCTTTTAATTAAGTATACAGGGATATTGTACAAGTTTGGATGGTTAATCGGGTATTGGGCTGGAAATAAACCCATAAACGGTTCCTTTTTAAATATAAAGTTTGATTCATATAAATCAAGTATAATAGCATGGAGAATAACGGCAATTAATAAATCGTTAAGAAGTGTTTCTTGGTCAAAAAATTTATCAGTAAGATTAGTTTATACTGAACCTGAATATAGACATCAAATATTATTTAGTGTACAATATGATTCTAAGCAACATAGATCCAAAGTTCTAGAAGGAAACAATATCTTGAATGATGATGGTGAATGTATAATTAGGAAAGCATTATTTGAAAAACATAATGAAAGTGTATTATGGAAACAAGATGACGATGACGAGTATGGAGATGAGCAAAGAGGATTGATTTTAGAAGAAGAGGAAATTAGTAATGCGGATGAAGTTGATACTACGATATTTTGCCATGAAAATACTATTGAAAATCAAGATTGCTTTTTATTTGAAGATGAAAAATATTTTAAATGTTGGACACTGAATAAAAATCAAAAAGAGAAGAAAAAATTTGATGGAATTTGGATTGGTGATTATGGTATGGTATTCTTAAAAAAAAATAGGAAATTTGAATTTTTATAATTAAAATATAATTAAAGCTTATTTTAATAAGTTTATACAGGAGCACATGGGATAGAATTTATATTATTTAGAGAAGATGATAGTGGTTATCTTTTTGCCACAAAAATCACTGGTGATATTAATGTTCCTCGTGGTGAAATTAGTTGGAGGTGTAACTTAAAAGATCAAGTTAGAATTTGTGATGAATTAGAATGGAATGGTAAAGTCTCTTATCGTGCTAAAACTAAAGTTGCTTATGAAGGTTTTAGAAATCCCGATGAAATCGATTCTGAAGGTAAATAAAAAAAAATTTATTTTGCTTATTCCTTTTTTTTTTTTTAAAAAAAAAAGAAAAGAATTTAATTTAATTGTATCTTTAAATTTTAGTTATCATTGTTTCATATGATAAATTAGTGGTTTATTGGTATGATTTATCCGAAATGGCTACTTTTGTTAGAGTTGTTTAAAATAATTGTGAATTTGAGAAAACAATCATTATCATGGCTATGCGTGAGGCACTGTGACATAGTGGCGTTTTTTATTTTGTTAGAAGAAATTTGTATCATACCTTTCTAATATTTCTAGTAAGTAGACTTTTTTTTTCGTATATGCAACTTTATCAATTATAATTATATTTTTCATTTTCAGATTCTTCATCTTTTTTTTATAATGTTTTATCAAATTCATTATATAAAGAAACTTTTATTATAAATTTACATTTTAAATCTTCTGATAATCTTTTGGCATATGTTGATATATTTTAATTCCTTAATTATCTACTTGAATTTGTATCTTAAAAATTAATAATATATAAAAGATTTATTTATTAAACCTGTATCTTTTTATATTATACCAATTAAAATCAAATTTTAATATCATAAAAATCAATTAATATTTAATTTATTTAATCTATATTGTTTAAAAAGTAAAAAAATTTTATATAATTTTTTATTAAAACAAATATAATATATAATTTATTTAAGAATATTTTTAACCATAACCGGCGGTGACATTTACCGGTTCATGTGATATTATAATAAAACAGACTAATCCTAATCCCCGATCCTAAGTAAACCAACCTTAACTTACCTAACCCTAGTGCTACGCCACAAGTTGAGGGTGGCGTCTGTGACAAATAACGAGTGACAAATAGGTTTTCACATCCTAAAAAAAAACTAAGTTCCCAGATTAAATAGTAAAAAATGAAACATGGTTGGTGTGACGCTATGTGACAGATTATTATATCACATGATCCGGTGATGTTAACCACCGGTTATTTTAACCTTTATTTAATATATTTAATTTTTTTACAATTAATATTTTTATTAACTAAATTAATAATAAAATATAGTATTGATATTATTTGAAAAATATTTTAATGTTTAGTTTAAAAATCTAAAAACTTTTTTAAAACATTTAAAATAAATTTTTCTTAAATCTGAAACTTAATTAAATTAGAATAACCTATTACCTATTATAAGTTTAATAAAAATATTTAATATAAATATGATTTTTTTTAAATAAATAAGTTCATATTTAATATTAACTCATAAAATAATTTGGTTTTTAAATTTTCATTCTTTTTACTATAAAGCTCTTATATATAAATTTAAATTATTTTTATAAATATTAAAGTTATAATTATATATAATACTTTTTTATTTTATTTAGATAAAAAAAAAATATAAAAAATATCTAAAATTATAATATTTATTATAAAAAATTTTTTTAAATATGCTAAAAAGAAAATAAAAAGAAATTTTGTTAAAAATAGTCTTTATAGCTAAATTTATAATTCTTATTCTTTTAATAAATTTATTAATTATAATCAGTTATATAAATAATCAATTTAATACAAATTTTATTTTTTTATAGATCATCTTGTAGAAGATCACTTTATTAATTTAGATTTTCTTGATAATCATTGTAGATCCAGATATTAATTTTATTTCTAGTATAATGATCAACTAAATTTTCATGATCATTTTGCTGATTATTTTGTTAATTTAATTTTAATAACATAATAACTTTATTTTTATCAAATATAGTTAGTTTGGTTTATTTTATAATTATTTCATATATAATATCTTTGTATTTTTATTAAGTTTTAATAAGAATAAAAGAAAAAATTAAATATATAGCTTAAGGATAAAATAAAGTTAAATACTTTATTAAAGAAGTTTAATACAATAAGTTATCAGAATTTTTATTAACATATTAATAAAGAAATATAATTAATCAAATTAAAACTTATTCTTTACAATCTTTTTTTAAACTATTTGTAAATCTTTTAATATGTATTGATTTAATCATAATCTCTAAAATAAATCTTTAAAATATTTAAAATTAATTTATATTTATTTAAAATAATTTTTGCTGTTATTATCAATCTTTATCCAAATATAATATTAGTTTTATTAATTTTTAATGATTTTAATTTTAGTTATAAATTAGATATAATAATATAAAAGGTTTATTAGAAAAATAGGCTTTTGTAAATTTTAATTTTTGATGATATTATATTAAAATGCAATAAGAATTTTAGACAAAAATTTTTAGAATTCCATTTTTCTAGTAAATCTATAATATAGCTAAATATAATATATAACTTGATCAATGTTATTTATTAATTATATATAGGAGCTTATTAATCAAAAAAAAAAAATCTAAAAAAAAGTTTTTATAAGTTAATATTAAATTTAAACTTATTTTAATTTAATTTTTTTTATTTAAATACTATCTGATTTTAGCTTTAGATATTAATTGATCCTATTATCTAATATAAATAATTTATATACTTATGTAAACTTTTATATAATAAAGTTTTTTAATATAAAAATTTATATACTTATATAAACTTTTATATAATAAAAATTTTTAATATAAAAATTTATTATATTATAAATATTATTTCTTAGATATTAGGATTTCACAGACAAATTGGCTGCTTATTTACTATAAATTCTCTTTCTAATTTACTTTTATAAATAATTTATATTTTTAAATTAATTTTATAAATATGTAATATATTATAACAATTTTATTTTTTATTATATAATACAAAATTTAAAAGCTAAAAATTTTAAAAATTTGTAATTTTATTTTAAAATATTTTACGATTAATCTATAATAAACTTTTAGAATTTACTTTTAACTAAAATTGACTACTAAAAATTAATTTTGGTTAAATAAAACTAATTTTGATATTTTCAGCTATTAACTAAACTAGTTTTGATACTTAACTAAACTAATTTCAGTAAGTCTAAACTACTTTTGAATAGCAACATTATTTTTTAATTATATTAATTATAATAGAATCTTATAATAATATTTATAAAGAAAAACTTTATTATTATAATTTTTATAATTTATTAAAAATTTTATGATTTTAATTAATGATAAAGTGATTTAATTAATATGTAAACATATAAATTTTTAAAAATTTTTAAAAAATTATTATAATAAATTTTTTGAAACTTAATTTTAAAATTAAATTATTTTAAAAACCTTTTAAAAAACTTAAAATTTTTGATAATAAAGTTGATAAAATATATATTAAATTATATATTTTATATAATAATAATATCGTTACATGAAGAAGACATGGATAACCTGGGTGACATATATAGGAGGTGGTCAGTAGAAAAGGGAAATCCAAATTTTGGTCAAAATTTATATTATTGGACCACTTGACTGATCTCAATCATATGCACAAAATTAGCTTAATAATTAAAATTAATAAAAATTTGGATTTCCTCCTTTTCTACTAACTGCCTCCCATATGACTATGCTGACTAAAATATTATAAATGTCTTCTATGTCTTATAGTATTTAATTTCTTATATTTCTTATATATATTATATTATTTATATCTCTTATATTACATATATTTATTATATTTATTATAATTATTATAGTTATTATATTATTTATATCTCTTATATATCTTTGAACACTTTATGTAATTATTTTTATATAAATATACTTTGAGTCTTAGGATAGTAAACGATAGGTTTTCTATAAGGTTTTATTATAGTTTTTAAAGTATTGTCTTTAGTTTAGTTTAATATACAACATTTGTATAGTACAGAACGCTGACAGAGGCAGTACTCATTTGTTAAAGATATATTAAATAAACAATCGACCTTTTTAAATCAATCTATATAATTTTATAAACCTTTTACCTTCTGCTTACCTTATTACGCTTTTAACCTTTAAGTGACAACAAAGAACTGATCATAACAATATTATTAAAATTAATATTTAACATTTTATAAAAAAATTAAAACTTTTTTTTTATTATACAGTTTAATAGATAATATTAAACCTTTATAATAAAAAGAGTGAAAACTATTTAAAAAATAAAAAATAAGTTATTCTAGATTTAATCATATTTTAACCTAAAAATCATATTTAATATATAATAATAAAATTGATTTTTTCTAGTAGTTTTTCTTTTTCTATTGCAAAGATTTCATATAATTATAATTAAAATTTTATTTAATACAAAAAATTAAATTAAGAAAATTTAATAAATTTAGATTAAATAAATATAATCAATTCTCTATAAATACATCTAGTATTCATTTATAAAAAGTATGTATTTATAAGAAATATGTTTTTAAAAAATTTATATTATATTTATTAAATAAATAAAAATAAGTTTATTCAAAAACATTATTTTTATTATATATTGTAATAATTATATTAATTAAAATACTAATTAATAGTAAAGTAATTATACAAACAACTTTATTAGAATATAAAAAGAAAGTACTATAATAAACTAAAAAGTTATCTTATAGATCACATGATTTTTACCTTGTCACAAAATCCATTTAATCAGCCAAAACTGGCAGATCTGCCAGATTGACTAAATTTGCCATATATGTAATATATGTCAAGTATATAATGAAAGACCAATTATTACATTTCTTATTTTTATATTTTTATTATTATTATTTTATTTATATTATTAAATTTCTTATAAATAAGGTAGCTTTAGAACTTTAATAACATAGGAACTTTTAAGTAGAGAATTACTTTTAGTACTATCGCCAATAAGATAAATACTAAACATATTTGTATGCTAATAAATACATTTGTAATAATTATTCTAATTAATAAAACTCTATCGTTTACCTATAATTACCTTTGTTTCTAAAATACACTTGAATTATAAACCTTCAGAAGCTCTCCATAAATTATATTATAAAGTCTTAAAGCTAAATCCTTTGTTAATTTTGTGTTAATACTAATTTTCAGTCGTTAGTATCATAAGATAACAATATAGTGAATTCTTGATATAACGAATTCTAGGATCTGGATATCAACTTCATTATAAGCTTATAACAAATTTTTTAAAGAATTTAATT